ACATTTGGAGAGTTTAACGCACTACCTATTATATTTTAATTAATGAAAACATAACATACACATTTTTTATTAAATGCTCTTGACTAAAAGACTATTTTTCTATTAAAATAGAGAGACCATTGGAGTTAATTAAAAAAATTCATTCTCTATTTCAATTTTTCATAAAAGGTGCTCCCTATATTTTTTAAAAAATATGATCTCAAAAATAGAGAGTGATATGCCCTTTAAGAGATGCTATAGAGATGCGAGGGTGTTAATGGTTGGCGGTGCCTTTTCGATTTAAGTGGAAGACCTAATATAATAGAGGGAAGACCGAATTCTAGGCTCCAAAAATGATTATTTTGAACTATAGAATGGGGAGAACTGTTGATCCTGAAAATAGCTCCGACAGGTATTTGATGAGGTGGCAATTATTGGTGGATTTTTGGACAAAAATCGAGGACCAAATGGTGGTTCCGGTGGTCGACCCTCCAATGATTAAGTCAGTAAAAAAAATTGGATTGTAAAAGTATTTTCAGCTGGGAGGAATTACTTACCTGATGGAAAGCTATCTCATTACTCTTATAGTTGAGCTCCTATTACCATTGGAGCACCTGTGAGGATGATTTAAGTTTCAAAGTGGGTTGAGTTCACATTGATTGTAATTTGCGAGTTATGAATATCTTTTGGGTAGAATTATGTTTTTATGTTTCCTTTGATTATGATGTTCAATATATTCAAAAAAATTATTAGTTTCAGGATGTCGAAGTCTAGAGTAAAGTTCACTACTATACTAGCATGGTAGAGATGGGGGAAAACTAAGGAATCTAGTTTATGTACATATTGTACATGAGTGTTTGTTTTCCCTGTTATTTGTTGTAAAAGGATTGAATCTCTAATATTTTGTTTTGGTACAAAACGAAACCATTGTGTACTCTGTTATATAGTTTATCTGTTTTTGGTGTTATTAGGTGATATTATTGATTTTAAACGCGTTATTACATTACAGACACATGTATTGCCATGTGTTGAGTTACGTTTCAATCACTGGGAAACCAAAAAGGATCTCCTAAGATGGGGAATGACAAATTCACAGTCAAGAATGAAGGGCCACGAAGCCCGAATTTTTCAAAAAACATGCCTCAATTAATTTGATCAATTAAACAAGGCATGGGGGCAATTGTGGGGAGCTTATGTTTTGCAAGTGCTGGCCGGCACATGGCTTGGATGGCTTAGCCAACTGGAAGCCTCCTACGGGCACCCAACCTGCCGACAGTTGGTTGTACACGAATTCGAAAGATGCCTCATTATCATCCCTGTACATGCCTACATCTGCTAAATGAGTCATATTCAGTTAAGGATCAACCTAGGACCAAGAGTCTTAGTACAATATTATTCCGAACATTAAGGAACTAGTGATAAGACACCTAGGAACAAGAGTCTTAGTCTAATACTACTCTTTGAGAACCTAGTGATGAGATTGATCATATCACCATCTAGAGTTCGAGTTGTGATGCCCCAAATTTCCGGGGCTCATTTATAAGTCCGTTGATAACCCATTAACCCGCAGAAATACTCGTGGACACCAGTTAACCCAACACCACGGCAGCACATCTCCTTTACCGGGATTTTCTAAAAATACAAAATATATTTTCTTTTAAGCGAGTGACCCATCCTAGGTCCCACATACCATCATTGGTATTCCATTAATGTCCATTTATACTCTTGGGAGGAAGAAATGCATAGCCCAAAAGCTTGTGGAAGTAAAACAAAAAAAATTGAAAATCTGTGAAAGCGTACTGGCACCGTGAACTCTCTGGACAACGTCGTGCCGATACACGTACCGGTACGCTCTGTCCGAATTTCCCTGTTTCACTTGTTTTTCATTTTCAAACCTTATCATTTTCATCTCAAACATGTATAATGAAGTTTTTCTACATTATACATGATCCCTACAAAGTTCTATTACAAGCATTCAAATATGATTATAATATTTACATGTCAAAAACCATTTTTAACCAAAAGTTTTACAAAACTTCAAGGTTAAAAACCACATGTTGGTCTCTCTTCACCCTTGAGGCCCCGAGTGAGAGCCATCCCCGGGCGTGTATCCTCCACCTGAAATGTGTCTCATATAGGGTGAGCAACGCTCAATAGAGTATCTCCTACAGAGGCTACTTCTCAATCTAAATGCACATGAAATGTTCACATGCAAACAAGCCACAAATCATAACATTCCAACCAAGAATATGCATTCAATGTTGGGATTTAGCATGCCATGCTATGGAATGAGGTGAGCCTCACTTATGCATATGAACCCGAGCCCTTCCCAACTCCTCAACACGTGCAAGTGTCAATGTGTTGGAATCCGCCATTTATGTTGAACAACAAATGACATTAACCAATCTAGGGTATTTTGTATGGGGTGGATGTTCATGGGCTTACACCAAGAGTCTCCAACCCACTCGAAATTCATGGACTTCCACCAAGGGCTCCGCGTACACCCACACACTTCATGGACCAAGCCAAGGGAGTGCGTATCCCAATCATCGGGCCTCGTACCCGAGGGATCTTCTAGCCCCTTCTTGCTACCCCAACCCTAATTACCATGCAACCCGTGCGACTCAGCCAGGTCTTCGAGCAAGCTTAATCGAGTCCACTCGTCCTCCACCAAGTGTGGTGTTGACAACAACCATGCACACATGCCCACACCCATGTCGATGACCACGAATGCTATGTTCCGTGCAAATGCAATGAAATATACCATTGCATGTTTGTTACCATGTTCAATATGTAATGAATGTCACATGAATAATTTCAACACATTTCATATATCTCATGGCAAAATTAAATCATAAGCATATATCTCTCATAATTCTTCACAATGTCAATATAACACAAGCATGTATATACATCGACAATTTTCACAACACAATATCCAAGCATGTTATCACAATTTTTATGTCAATAACACACTTAATCACAAAGGCACCATGTAAACACAAGACATGCCCACATAACACAATTTTTCAAGGAAGTGCACAAGTGACTTTCACATACCAAAAGTGAAGATAGAATGTATTCTACCCATTTCACCCATTCAACAACAGTAGGCAAGGGATACACAATCCCATAAGCCTAACCCTTCCTTAAGGGCCTTCTAAGTCGAAAATGGATCAAAGTAGGAAGAACCCTACCTCTTGGAGCGTGAATCGAAGACTAGAGCTTCAAGAACACCTCCCAAGCCCCACAAATCTTGATTTCTCCCAAAGCCTCCTCTTGGATCTTCGGTGAAATTCTTTGTTCTTGATACGTACGCGTAGCCCTTGTCATGGTGATCAATTTTAACTCTTGGTCCAAGTGATTCCGAGTGACGGATCTTCGTAAATCGAAGGAAGAAATGTAGAAATCAAGTTTTCTCTTCTCTCCTTCTCTTCCTCTCAAACGTGTGAGACCAGCCAGCTAAGGAGAAGAAAAATCTGATTTTTCAGATATTTAGCCCCTATTTATACTTTTAAACGTGCGATCCATATCGCATCGCTCATTTACTAATTTTAAATCCGTTTTTCGCCCCGAAACGATTCATTTGATCCTGGTTTAAGTTCAAATTAATTTTATTTGAACTTTAACTCAATTATAAGGAATTTTTATAAAATTTATTTATGGAGACATTCGTGAGGTCATCCGCCACCCAGCCACCTCGAATTACGTGCAAAAATCTGACTATCTCAGAATTCAACTAAATTTGACAGGGTAACTAAGTCTCACGTTACGAATCCAATGGTGAATTCCTTTCCCCCCCCCCCCCCCCCCCTCCGAGGTCTAGAGATATGAGTATTTTAAATATGCATTATAGTGAAAAATTATCATTTTACCCTTTTTCAGGAAAAATTGAAATTTACCCGGGTTTCACACGAGTTCCTTTAGAACACAACTTTCTATCACTATAAATAAAGGCCTTTGAGTACCAGGTAAGGACATTCAATCTTAACCTATTCACTACATATTATTTTCAACTATCGGATAACTTAGGTTTTTCAAAACTTCCTTACCGTCATCTCTGTCCGTACAAGGTGGTGACTCCTTGTGTAGTGATTAGAAATAAGTCAAGAGTCAGTTGCCATAACATTAACCCAATCTCCAATAGTTACACTAGGCCTCTGCCTATAAAAACCAGTCATACTCCATGCATAGGGTCGGCAATTACACTACCTTGTTTTTTGTTCTCTTACTTTATCTCTTTCTGTCACTTTTGCTTTCCTTATATTTTGGTTGTTTATGTGCTTCCACAAGAAATAGGAGTATCATGTTTTACTATTATTAAGACTACATCAAAGTCAGAAATTGTATATCTTTTTATCAACTATAACAAATTATGTTGGCCAATGCTAGGTTCAGCCAGAAACCCCCCAATCCAGTTGTCAAGTATACACAGCAGCAGGTATGAGATATTGGCAACTTGAGCAAAAGCCAGATAAATCTAGATAAATTTTTTATTTCGTTACGGAAATCTCCACACAATTTGATTTATCAACAACTCACATTGGGAAGTCAATTTGTGAAGGATTTGGTCAGTAGCTAAAACTATATGCATCAATAGGCAAGTTCTTTAGTTTCCACACGACCAACACAAAACAAGGAGAGAGAAAAATAAAAGAATCAAGGGATAGAGAAATTCAGAAAATAATTACTGAAAATCTTGCCTGACATTCATTATTAATGGCATTTGCCTACCATCACACATAATGAAATAGCTCTAGAACAGCAAGCACATCTCATCTTTCCAGGGAGTTACATTAAGACAAAAACCAACGAGGGACTTATTAAACCCAAAAACCTGTGTTTAGAACTCAACAGTGTCAACTTTTGGCATAAATATGTTGAAATTTTATTTAGTAGCAGAATTTTTCCTGTTTTCCCAGCATAAAGCTTAAAGCAGCGATCCATGAAAACGCTTGCCAAATAATCTCAATGCCTTCTGGTCAGACAACTCAGTTTCCTTTTCCATGGACTACCTAACCTTATGTTCTACAATTCAACCATTCAATAATGTCCTTCAAAATTTCTCCTCGTTCAGGTTCAAAGAGCAGATCATGTAACAACCCTTCATACAGTTTGATGGTTTTGTCAGTTGAGGAGGCCTCTTTGTAGAGTTTTTGAGAAGCTTCTGGTTCAGTTACTGTATCAGCAGTGCCATGGAGAACTAGGAACCGTACTTTCCCTTTGCTCAGGTTCTGTTGCAAGTAAGATGCAATTCGAAGTATCTCATAACCAATTCTCACTCTGATGGATCCAGTGTACACCAAGGGGTCTGAATACTTTGCCAGGAGTGCCTCTGGGTCCCGAGAAACGTCTTGTTCGCAGCACTGAATTGGTATCTTGGCAACAAGAAGGAAAAAACAGGGGCAAGTGCCTGGCATCAAGGTAAATGAACTTTCAAAACACAATCTCCTCTAACAACAAAAAAATGAATTTTTTGGAATCGCTAGATTAGAAATATTATTTTTGTTTAGAATTTCAAACAGTCAGGGTCATATAAAGAGTTTTCTTACTGCAAAAATTGGATGCGCTGGCTGAACTCCTACAGCAAGTGAAGTCAGCACAACACCTGCTATGCAAGCTTCTACCTTTGGGTCAAGTACAGCCTACAGGAATTCATGAAACTCAATACTAGAAATTGAAAACTCACACACTTTAGATGTATGTATATCAAGTTTGGCTTCAAAAAGTGAAGAAATGATTCAGGAAAATATCACATTAAAGTAATCTCACCTTGATGACAATGGTTGCACCAGTGGAATGTCCAAAGCAAAAACATGGAAGCCTGGATTATCAGCTATAACCTTCCGAAGAAATGATTTCTATATTGTAATAAGACACATTAGTGGATTCACTCAACATACACATAGTACCAAGTAACTTCTACTCTTGTGAATTCACCCCAAAGCATACCATATCAGCAACGGCATCATCCAAAGAGTGAACATAGGCATGCAGCCCATCACTTCCGCCATGGCCTACAGAAAGAGGAAAATTTGATAAAAATAAGTCAAATGTTTGACTGATAAACAAATAAGCAAGGGATATGAACAAAAATAACTAGATATAAGAACCACCAGTACAAGCAGTTACAGAACCTTGTTCTCTTGCTACAAATAAGCTGCCTACATCTACGTCCTTTAAACCCAAGTTCTCATAAGAAAGGATGGGGTGGAGAGAGAAAGAGAAAGAGAGAAAGAGAGAGAGAGTTGAACACAAAGCCTTACACCCAGTGAAGCAACTAAAAAAGGGGATCAGAAGATACAGAGGGCAACACCCAGTATATTTACGGGAGGAACCTAGTGACAGACAAGTTTAAATCTCTATTGCAAGTAAACACAGAAAGATCAAACCTTAAAGCAATTCAAGACCTAATGTTGGAAAAAAGAGTGACCGTAACTGCATGCCTGTAGCCAGGAGGCACATTGTGTACCAAAAGAATGTTCTGTTTCAAAGACCACAGCCAGCATTTTCTAAAAAACTTCATTCCTAGGAAGGGCTCAAAGAGTGGCTTGTTTTTCAAGACAAAGAAAAGATTAGATTCCTAGAGAGACCTCACAATTCTGGGCTTCTGCTCCTTCAACTTGAAGAAGAGAGAGAGAGAGAGAGTTTTAAGGTTCTAGCTTTTTCGAAAAGAATGCATCCTCCCTTCACCATTCTTATATGCACAAGGCCAGATGCAAAGACTCAAATGATAAGCTTACTTATTAGGAGGAGCTTCATATGTTACTTTTTTGGCACCAATGGTCATCCGAATTGGAATAAATGCAATCCCCGCAACAACCAAATATAGATGCATCATTGAAGAACTATGATATCTAGACTACAAAATCGTAAATACATTAATAAGGCAACCGTCTTCGAAGACATATCAAATAACTGCATGGCATCGACACAAGTTTTAATTGGGGAAAAAGAAAGAAAAACCAACAAGAAAATTCATTAAATCTGGATACAAGGAGTTCACAGAGTTAGATTATACTTCAGCCTAGACATCTACTAAGCATAAACTAGATTATAGAAGCCCCTATACATGCTTTTTGAAGCTTGAAAACATGGATTATTACTCTCTGAGAATCAAAATGAACTCCTTTCCTTTGAATGGTCGACTTTAACAGAAATTTATGATGCCAAGAGGAATTGTCATTTGTAATAAGGAAGTTGATAAGCAAGAATTACAGGAAGCTAGACCACCCATTTCAAGGTCCATTTAAATGGCACTTGTATAAGGTCAACCTAGTGCGTGAGGCTCCTACCACTACTGAATCTAGCGAAGGTCACATGTATGAAGCCTTATCCTGTTCATACAACCTTGAAGGTACTTATATTTTAAAAAAAGAAAAAGAAAAAGATATCCACAAAGAAGTTTTACCTTTTATGTCTATAAAATCAAGTTACAACAAATAAAACTCTTATAAGGAGCTATCCGGCTAGTAGACACCCTCCTTTTGTTCTAATAAGTATTAGAGAGAAGTACATGAAAGATACCAATATGTACAGCTAAAAGGGGCATACCAAAGAAAATACAACCCGCTAATAGCAAGACTAGGATGGCACCCCAAGAAAAAATGCATCGGAGTCCACACTCGAAGAAAACCCCTAGATTTGAGAATTGCAAGTGTTGACTCATTCCAAGATGTACAATTTTGTGAGCATTTCATCTTTGAAAATAAACATATGGAATTCGAGATCGAAAAGTCTCCCTCCCTCCCTCCCTCCCCCCCTCTCTCTCTCTCTCTCATGCACACACACATTAGGAGAAGAAAACAGACCTTCTCTAGTTTTAAAAATGTTATTCCTATCTCCTACTAATTAGAGTGTCCAAAGTCAAAACCTAAGACAAACAACAAAGACTTAACCAATCAGGCTTATAGTAAATACATTAAGAAACTTTGGATGGCTCTATCGCCTCCATTTGTCCTTCATTTAATATTTTCTGCTTTTTCTTGAGAAAGGAAAAGATGCAACCACAAACTACAATTACCAAACGAGTTCCCTAAATAACTAACTCTGAAACAAAGGATAAGACAAGAAATAACAATAATAATAGAAAATGCATTAGACAACTATTCATTGAGATTTGTTATTTTTAAGAATGAAATACAGAACTTCAGTTGCTTATAATATAGGGATTAAAAAAATTACTGAGATTCCAATCAGGCTATATTTCTATTGCCAATACCAGTATAACATTCCAGAATCACATAGATAAAATAAGCACCCACGGATTTATTCACATGTTGCACAATTTCCAAGGCTATCAAGTTCAGACTACTTGCAGCTTATCAGTGTAGTTCAGTAGACCAACTCGACCCTAGGCCTTAAAGAGTTAATTACAATCTTAGGAATACAAGATGACTTCATTTGTTTAACTTTTTTAATGAGACATGCTACTGATCATTCTGATGATTCTGAGGATTCTGATAGTTTGTCATCTCATGTTTCTAGTATTTCAAATACCTCTTCTCATGTTCTTACCTCATTATCTTTACATTATACTTGACCAATTCGTACTGATCATTCTGCAGGTACTGACACTTTACTCTCTAGCACACCTGAAACTATCTCTTCTCCTATGGTCCCTCAAGCTTCATCTGAGATTGTGGATCCACCTCTACATCAATCCATATGCATTCGTAAGTCCACAAAGTTACCAGATTTTGCTTATTCTTGTTATTCTTCATCTTTTACTTCCTTTTTAGCTTCTATTCATTGTCTCTCTGAGCCTTCTTCCTATAAAGAGGCAATTCTTGATCTTCTTTGGCAGCAAGCTATGGATGAGGAACTTTCTGTTTTGCAAAAGATAGGTACTTGGGATTTGGTTCCTCTACCTCCTAGTTGTAAAAGGGTACTCTCAATAGTATGGTATGAATTATGAGGAGACATTTGCTCCTGTTACAAAAATGACTACTAATCGTACTCTTATTGTAGTTGTTTCGGTTCGTCAGTGGCATATCTGTCAACTTGATGTTAAAAATGTCTTCTTGAATGGAGATCTTCAAGAAGAAGTTTATATGGCGCCCCCTCCTGGTATTTCACATGATTCTGGGTATGTTTGCAAGCTCAAGAAAGCGTTATATGGTCTCAAACAAGCACCTCGTGCTTGGTTTGAGAAATTTTCTGTTGTGATCTCTTCCCTTGGATTTGCTTTCTAATAGTCATGATTCTACTCTTTTTGTTAAGTGCACTGATGCAGGTCGTATCATTTTGTCTTTATATGTTGATGACATGATTATTACTGGTGATGATATTGACGGTATTCAGTTTTGAAGACAGAGTTATCTAGACAGTTTAAAATGAAGGATTTGGGTTCTCTACGATATTTCTTGGATATTGAGGTAGCCTACTCACCTAGAGGTTATCTTCTTTCTCAGTCGAAATATGTTGCAGATATTCTTGAGCGAGCTAGACTTACTGATAATAAGACTGTAGATACTCCCATTAAGGTTAACACAAAGTATTCTTCTTATGATGGTTTACCTTTGTCAGATCATACTTTATACCGTACTATTATTGGGAGCTTGGTATATCTCACTATTACTCGTCCAGATATTGCATATGATGTTCATGTTGTTAGTCACTTTGTTGTTTCTCCTACTACAGTTCATTGGGCAGCTGTTCTTCGTATTTTGCGGTATCTTCGGGGTACAGTCTTTCAGAGTCTTTAACTTCCATCCACCTCTTCCTTGGAGCTGTGTGCATACTCTGATGCTGATCATGGCAGTGATCCCACAGATCGCAATATCTGGACGAGTCTTTAACTTCCATCCACAGTCTGTTACTAGTTTTCTATATCTTTTTGGGTGATTCTTTTATTTCTTAAAAGAGCAAGAAACAATCTATTGTTTCTCAATCTTCAACCGAAGCAGAATATCATGTTATGACATCTACTACCAAAGAAATTATTTGGTTACGTTGATTACTTGCAGATATGGAAGTTTCTCTTTGTCATCTCACTCCTATGTATTGTGACAACCAGAGTTTTATTCAGATTACTCAAAACTCAGTTTTTCATGAACGAACTAAGCACATTGAGATCGATTGTCACCTTACTTGTCATCATCTCAAGCATGACACCATTACTTTGCCATTTGTTTCTTCTTCTTTTCAGATTGCAGATTTCTTTACCAAGTCACATTCTATTTCCCGTTTTCGTTTTCTAGTTGGCAAACTCTCGATGCTTGTAGCTGCCGCATCTTGAGTTTGAGGGGAGATGTTAAGAAATATAGGGTTATTGGTTATTTTGTTTATTAAGGGTAGAATAGTCTTTTACTTTCTCTTTGTTTAGCCTATATTTAGTCTCTTTGTATTTAGGTTAAATCACTTCCTTGTATTCAATTGAATTATGCAGTATCAATAAAATCATAACCTCCTCTTTTCTTATCTCTTGTGTTTCTCTTTTATTAGATTGTTTAACACTAAATACTTACACTGCTACTTCCATAAACTTGTAACATTAACATATGTAACACATGCTTAATAAGAGAAGATAGATTTTGTGAATCACTAAGAATAAACTCGATCTAGATGCAGGAAAAGTGGAGTGATTCAGACTAATGAAGTAGGTCCAAAATTATAGCCTATATATGTCTTGTATTTTGCTAGACGAGTTGGGATTTCGTGCAGTCCTTATAATGGACAAATAAAAATACAATCAAAACAAAATCTGTATCTGCCTTCGGGTATTATCCCCTACATTGAATTTACAGCTCTCTGGTGTGCAAAAACTACATAATAAAACAACCTTTGAAACTGCAAAAATCATATTTAAGAAGGAATTATAAACAGGACTATTACATATCCCCCCCCCCCCCTTCTTTTCTTCCTCCAAACAGAAAAATTAGCTCAAATTGAATGAAACTCCTGGTAAATAATTTCTGATCGACTATATTAACAGTTAAATATCAATATTCAGCATGTGGTAATGGTGCTGAACTAACCAATCCAATCCATTCCATAGATCTTATATCCATTGGCAGTCAGCTGCTTAGCAAAATCACTGTATCTGCCACTGTTTCAAAAGAAACATTTATTTTAAGCAATACAAAATAAGGAATCAACTCAACATGACATTAAATCTGAAAGGAAATTACACATACAAACCTGTGTTCATTCAGGCCATGCAACAGAACCACCAGTCCCCTGCACAGGACAAATGAATCCATTTTAGGTGCAACTAAGTCACGTTTTGAACGGCGATTTAAAGGAAAATAAATCATTTTAGAAGTAGAAGAACCACTCTACAGGATTACAAGGGAGATCATTTTGTGACTTTGACACATTGAACATTCAGTTGAACCAGATGCAAGTATTCATTCCCTATTTAAATATTGTAAAAATTGCCTCCAAAGAATTTACTTTAGTTCTGCAAGAAGCCAGTGACTTAAAACAAACAATCTTTCTTATCCATTACCAAGGAGCTGAAACAAAGATATACACTAGATGGAATTACATGAAATCAAACCATTCGATTTCCTTCCCACAAGACAATATGAAATTTATATAATAAATCAGCTATCAAGTTGAATCTTTATCCCCTATACATTCCCCCCCCCCCCCCAAAAAAAAAATCATGTCACCCAATTCTATCGTATGTTCAATCACTTAATATTTAATTAATTTGTAGTTTAACACAACTTTTATTTTATACATTATTCATACACGATAGTATACATATGTTGAAAAATTTTTATCGAGTAATGCATTTTGAGAAAATTTTGACACTATTTTTAAGAAAATAATAGGTATAAATTAATTTTAAATGATGTAAGCAAAACATTAATTTTAAATTTGGTATAGTGAGATTAATTTTTTGAATACTAGAATTTTATATTTTATTGTGCCTTCACGCACGGGTTATGACTAATTATCATATACACTACAATCGTTACCAAACTAAGCAGTATTATAATAGGAGAGAATGTTCTAACACAAAAGTGTACTATGTGTCTTTAGATGACTCCAAGTCCTTGCCTAAAAATTAGGCACGTTCAAATGACAGAACATATTGTGTAACTACATTATTTTCGCATGGCTTTAGAGTTTAGTAGGTCACTGAGGATTAATCTAGTGATATGCTAGACTATTAAAGCAAAATTACAACCTAATGGACATTTGAGGCATAATGAGAGGTGAAAAATTTAGAGCTAGACTATAGTCCAAAGTTTTTTCCTATAAAATACAAAATCCTTCTACATGATTCTCATCAAAAGCTCGATTTTCATGTGGTTATCCATTAACCCCTTTGCCATTTTACGCTTAATTTTAAATGATGCTCACTGATGTTTATTATTTTTAATGAAAACATAATATCATTTTTAAATGAATAGGATGTGGTCAAATTACGGAAAAAAATCAAGGTTCAACTACTTTGGCCTGGCTATTCGTAAAATCCACTCATAACTTTGCCCAGGTTTATGCCTAGTCTTGTATGAAAACAATTCTAAACCTCTCCTGTGTTATCAGAACAAGCTTCTGATTCTTTTTTTTTTTGGGTGGGGGGAATGAATGTTAGCAGTTTAGACTTCAAAAGGTCATGAAAGTATCCATATGCAGTGCATGCTAAATAAGGATTAAAATTTAGTTTCGGTGCATTGTTTCAGTCACCTAGAAAACGGAAACGTTTTGACATGTATCGAAACGTTTCGACCAGTTTTGAAAACAGATAAAAAAAAAAATTTAACAATTATTTTTTTAAAATATTGGTTGAAATATACCAAAATATCTTGAAATACTTTGAAACATTTCAAAATAATTATGTAAATTATTAAAATATAACAAAACATTTCGAAACATTATAGAACACTTCGAAGAATTAGAATTTCGATTTCATCACTAATTCGTTTCGATTTTCTTGGAAACGAAAATGTTTCGGATGTTTCGATCATTTCGAAATGATATTTTGATTCTTGATGCTAAATAGTCATGATCCATCATGAAAAATACATTTACTGTTGAAGTCATCCACAGAAGTCAGTTTTTTTTTTCAGAACACTGAACAGTAACTTGTTAAAATCGTGTGCCAATTGTAGAGTGTCGTCAGGAATAATATCGCACTGCTGCCAACATTATCCCTATGTATACACTTGCACATAGTATAATGACTTCTTCACCAGTGGCATTACATTAGACGAGCATTGTGATGAAAACAAAGGAGTCACGGTCATAAAAGACACATGGGTGTTGTAATTCTCGAAGTGCGGTCCAGCAATGTATGTGCGAATATGCCTTTTAATCTAAGATCTCTGCACTTTCGGAATGCAGCCAATTATGCTCTGTAACAGGTAATTATCAGATGAAAACAAAACATTCCAGCATATTTATGGAGCTCACTGAATTTTAGTATTCAGAAACTTAAAAAAAGTCCGATGTTAACAAGACTAATAACATAAAGATTGTCTGTTCATTCTCCATGCCAGATTGAATGAAATTGAGATGTCATAACATTTATTAAAAAAAAGCATAAATGGAAAAAAAAATCAAAAAGAAACATCCAACAAATGCAAAGTGTGGGAATCTTACTAAAACTAGATATAGAACCAAAAGGACTATGGAAATTCAGGTCATCCACTGATCTAAGAGGGATGGCTATATATACCATTCCTAATTTGTAAATTATGAAACAAAGAATCAATTCGAGAGATCCATGAAAAAGATTTCGGATATCTGGGTTGACGAAGTTTCAATCCAACAAATAGTAATAAGATATGAAAATAAAAATGAAACCAATCTAACACTAAATCAAACCAAACAAAACCTTAAACCAATTATTTGTGCTGGCTAGATATATAATTTTTCATCTTCCCATTCCGTTCTATTAATGCATCAACAAAAATTAAAAACAAAACTAAACATTACCTGATTTTGAATGAAACAGGAGTCCAGGATTGAGTAAACATGGTGTCTCCTCTCGAAGTAACAAAAAGCGAAAACTCCCTCACCGACTCACCATCATTATCATCCTGCACCACCCTCCGAATGGCAAGCGCTCTCCTGGCGGCCACCTCCTGATCCACGACCACCGCACTGCTGCTCTTCCAACGGCACAATCCTCGCCGGCACCCTCGCCACCGTCTTACCCTTCTTGTCGTGTAATTTCTCCTCCTTATTGTGACCTTTGTCCGAACACCCGGACGACAAAGACGATGACATCATTGACGGAGACGTTGTCATGCAACGCTTTCGGCCTCGAAATGGCAATAGCAAAAGCAACACAAACGCATGGATCAGCATTGCCAAACTCTTCAGCGCTCGCAGCGACAACAGGGCGTTAACGGGTCCGCTGGCGCCAGACGTTAACATTATCGCTGCTCCAACATTTGCTTTCGTCGTCGGCTCAACCGCCATTTTTGTTCTTGTTCTTCTTCTTCGAATCGATAGCGATGAATTCAATTCTGAAAAATCTCTCCCTAAATGTATTCGCTTCGATTTCGATGTGGGGCTTTTGTTAACATAAAATCGAAAATTTCCAACATTCAGAATGTGGAATTTTTGTGCTGCCAAACAAATCATAGGTAATAGTCGAGGAGAGTAGAAAAGAAGAAAATGGAGAAACTTTTGGCTAAATTTAACGGTGTTCACAGTTGGATATCGGATATAGGGGGCGTTTTGGGAGAATTATACTTAGGTCCCGAAATTTTTCACATAATCACTCAAATTTTTTGATATTTAAAATATATTATACAAAATCCCTACCGGTAGTAGAAGTAAATCTGTTAATAAATTACATTCAGACATTTTAAAATTTGTAGATATACAATACTTAGATCCCTTAAATTTAAAATATTATATTTAGATAAAAAATATTTTAATTAAAGACAAAATATCAAATATTTTAAATTTTACAATTAAAATTCATGTTCTATTATATCATTTATTGACATAAAATTAAAATTAAAAAATTAATTTTTTCTTAATTAGTATACAATTATACTATCTATTAGAATAAAATTAAAATCAAATAAGTGGTTTAAGTGATTCAGAATAGAACATGAACTTTACAATTAAAATTCATGTTCTATTATGTCATTTATTAAAATAAAATAAAAAATAAAGATCTAATTTTTTCTTAAAAAATTATAATTAGTATACAATTATACTATCTATTGAATAAGACTAAAAAATAAACAAGGGGTCAAACTATAATGAATACAATATCTTTCAACTTTAATTGATGGTAATTTGATAATTTAATTTGACAATTTAAACGAAAAAATTAAATTTCAATAGATAGTATAATTGTATAATAATGATAATTTTTTTAAAAAAATTAAATTTTATTTCTGATCTTATTTTAATAATATATCATAAAAGAATATGAATTTTTGTTGTAAAATTTAAAATATTTGATATTTTATCTTTAATTAGAGTATTTTTTTTTTATTTAAATATAACATCTAAAGTTTGAGGTGTCTAAATATTACACACTTATAAATTTTAAAGGGTCTAAGTGTCTTGTATTTACAAACTTTAAGGGATTTATATATAATATTTTAAATATTAGAGAAGTTAAATGATTAAGTGATAAACTTTTAAGAGATCTGAGTATAATTCTTCCTATAATTTTTTAGAAAATTACTCTCAATAGCTTTAAGATTGTTAAAACCACACACTAACTACTAAGGTTTGGAAATTATGAAATATCTCAAACCTACATTTTGTGGTGTGACTTGACTACGGAGGCTATTAGTTATACGATTTTGCCCTTCTCTACACAGAATACAAAACTATTTCAATAGGAAGATGTTTTGGCATGAGAATATTTAGGAGGTGTTTGAAATTAAAAATTAATTGAAAATTTTCTAAAACATATGTTTAATTTTAAAAGCCTTTAACTACTACATTTTGTTGGATTCAAGAAAAAGTCATAATGTTTTTGAAACTAAATGATGGAAGAACTTTACTTTATAAGATAATGTACACATCTTAAAGTACTGTGTTATAAATCTCGTACACCGCATGAATATGTCACAAATAACTGGATAATATTAAAATATTATGCTAGCAAAAGTGCATGAAGTGAAGCAAAATAACATATTTTCAAATTCATATAATTATATTCCCTCATCAAAAACATAATTTTTAAACCCTAATTTCCATAAAATCCAATCCCCAACATTTGGCTTATAATCAAACTTACTAATTCTCAAGAAAAAAACAAACAACAAAAAAAAAAGGAAAAAAATTATTCGCAACAATCAAACACCCAATTGATCTAATGTACCATTAGACAAAAACACATAAAAAACCACAACACATGCATAACCAAACAATCAAAACAATGTCTTTCCATCGACATAATAGAAATCAACAAAATAGAGGAGTGGGAGCCATTCCTTGTTCTAGCATCAGCCGCATGCCTCATCGTTGCGAACAGACCCCCATTCTTTGCCTTTACTTTACATCAAAATTTCCAACAGAGTGCTACCTACGGAAACACGACAATTATCAAACTCTTTCACTAACAACACAATAACAATCGATTTCAATTTTGAATCCAAACTCTATCAGATGAATCACAAATTTAGCAAACTCACTTTAACCCAACACTTAGTGCCCTTTACTGCATTTATAGGAAACACATAGTAGAATAATAAACCTAAGTTAACATAAGAGCTTAAAAATGACGGGATTCCAATTTTTTGAGTACATTCACACGTACATCAATATTGTACATAAAAAAAATCAAACTTATTTCCAAGGGTATATTCACACTTAAATTGTTAATCGAATTAGTAACTTCTGGCCAAAAAAATTAAATATAGATTGCTAACCAAAATTAAGCAACTACGTACCTCACAGATGAACGGAGTTATATATTTCCCAACCATCAAATTCACATACTTCAACCAAAACCAAAAACAAAAACCCACAAATTCGAAATAAAATTGATGAAAAATTATCCATAATATAGTGGACTCACTGCAAGTCCTGCTATAGAAATATGAACCAACAAACTTCCAAGGTACTTGCAATTTGGGGACTATAAAAGGATTCTAGCAAGCAACTTATGGCATTGTTCTATTCCTTACTATTGATTAGTCCACATTCTTCTCGGAAGACATAAGTAAATATAGAAATATGAACACCAACAACATTGTCATAAAACTGGCTGGCCTGGACAATTTTGTCTTTGACTAACCTGATTGATCTAGTAGTTTTTTGTTAACAGTAGTCACCAAGGTGTTCAGGTAACCTTCTATGTTTAAATGCTGAAAAAATAATTTCCAGCCACCAGCAATGCCCTCGTAAAAAATGAATTAAAACCAAAATTATCAGACAAATCGAACTAAAACAAAGATTATCAGAAAAATCAAATTAAAACAAACTGACAAAACACCCTTTCTTGGCCTCACAAATGCAAGACATAACTCATGAAAAAATCAAAACTTTAACAGAAAAGAAGATAAAGCTTTGATAACGAAAAAAAATCACATTCTTTCCTATTGGAACGACAGTCCCAAGATTTGTTAATGACAATCTCAAGATTATAAAAAGGTTTACTCGTTTATTAATCCTACAAAGCGGAATTATAGTTTACCTTTAACGAGTAGATCCGCACGAATGAAGAACAGATGCAAATCGAACAACATGCTCAATGAACATCACCATCTTCTACCGTATAACTTTCCACTCCAAAAATTTGGATTCAGTGTGGGCTACAATTCTCTGAATTCTTTCCCTTGCTTTATCTCTGCCTTTTTCTAAACGTGAAGGTAAATGTTATAGTTGAGAGACTAGGGAGTGCATTTATTTATGGACTACAGTAAAGATCTTTAGAAGAAATAAGGGTCGAGCTTTCAAAAGGCCTAGGAATCCTATGTCCAACTCAAAACAAACATCTTATGGTCCATTAATAATACATTAATGAGAAATTTAGAGGCCAGACATTATTTGAGGATTTATTTGGTGATAAATCCATCAAAAAAATTTGTTTAATATTAAGTCCATTTTGATCTCCATTGTCCAAAATACTCTTATTAGTTATATTTACTTACAACAAATCGAAAACTAACAACTCCTAAATTTTAGAAGTTTGACTAATATTAAAATCTCTCTCTCTCTCTCTCTCTCATATTTATCTATATCCATATATAGGATAAGACTATTTATTTCTCTTTCCTTCACACACACACACACACATATAGTAACATTATAAATAAAAATAGTAACATTTAAACACAAAAAATAGTACCACTTAAACAAAAAAAAGATAGCAATATTCAAAAATAAAAATTAGTAACATTGAATATTAATATTTGAAAAAAATAACAATAGTAACATGACTAGTAAAAAAAGTAACATTGAATATTAATATTTCGAAAAAATAGTAACATTCAATATTAATAGTTAATAATAATAAGCTCACAAAAAAAAAAATAGTAAGATACTCAACAAAAAATAGTAATATGCACAACAAGAAAATAGTAACATGGAAAAAAAATAGCAACATGCATAGTAACATTTCATATTAAATTAATTGTAGTCTTCTCAACAAAAAAAAAAATGAGAGAGAGAGCGAAAAATGACAGTGATATAAAATTTAAATTTAAATTTTACATTTTAAGGAAAAAAATCTTCCATCAAGTGTGAATCAAGGATACCTGTTTAGAAAATTGATTTAATGTTAAAGATTACTTTTTAAGTCATTAGAAGGGTATTTTAAAATTTTAAAAAAATAGTGGATTTAACTACTTATAAGTAAAATTAAAAACGGACTTACCCCCAAATAAATTTCTTTACGCGAACTAAACTCATTATAAGTCCCTTAAGGAGGACTCAACCCCAATTTTCACTTAATTAATCCACTAAAAACTTATTTTTGATCTCCTGGGCCTTATCTCAAAATTATATTTCGAGATCCTCATTATTATATGTTGAATAATCTCTCAATGTTTAAAATTACAAATGTTCTCAATTAATTAAATTATTGAAAATTATATTTAATTGACTTTTTTTTATCCTTAAGATCTTACCACTCAATATATTTGTCATGTCGGATAATTAAATCCACCTGTAGGGTTTGACATGGACAATACTTATGAGTTTTATCAAAAAGACATCATCAACTCATTTAAATAATTAGATGTGATTTCTTTTAATAATTAATTCTCACCATACAAATAATGTCATCTCTCAATCACTGAGTTTATTGGCTCAAATATGAATCTCACTCTTTTATGAATTAAAGTAACAATCATTATATGAACGTGTCAATTAAATATCTCAGAATTAAGAGTTTAAGCAATCATAAAAACCATAATGTATTTATTTTCTTATTTAGTCAGTAAAAAAAACCTCAATAATAGTCTTGTCCAATGCACAAAGTGTACTAGTGCAAAAATTCG